AGATGTGTATAAGAGAATAATATATGTGTTTGTGTATTATATATATAGAGTATAGAGTGGCAGTGCCGGACGGAACCGACGGAAATGACGATTTTCCAGAGGGAAGCATAAAAAGAGTGAGGGATATAAGCAGCCAAGAACCCTTCAGAGGGGTATTCTATGGGGCGAATCCCCGTAAACTGACACTTTAGGGATTTAAATACTTGTTTAATTGATTTTAGATCCCCACACCCATCAAAATGATGAAATATTATTCATTTAGGCCTACATGCTAGAATGCTTCAACTCCTGAGACTTTTTTTCTCCCCTCCCCTTCCCATCATATCCCTCCCAGTGTCAGGTTCCTTCTGGCTCTCCTAGAGACTGTACCTCATACGATTTCCTGGAGTTTTTAAAAAGCAAAATAATGTAGGTTTATGCTTAAAGTATTATTATGGTATGGGAGAAATCATTGAACGTTTGACTGAAAATGGGGAAAGAGGTAGTACTAAAACATGGGACTATTTTTGCTCCTAAAATATCTATTTTGTTCTCCAATGTCCAACCACCTGTTACATCATTCCTGAAAACCGATGCATCAAGCTAATCAGAGGCCCGGTATATGTGGTTAACGTTCCTGATGACAGTAAGTTGTGTGATTGCATCATATTTTTCCGTGTCATCTCCATTTGACATGGCCATACTAAATACTTGTTATCCTTCAGTAACAAAGTACTATTTGGATTGGACCTATGACGGGTCAAACTACTATTATAGCGATGGAGGTTTTATTATATTGAAGAATATTCTTTTACTGATGCTGCTTACATAGCAGGGGATTGTTTTTTTGTGAAGATGTTTACGAAGGAATTGCATGCAGAATGCATTCGTAAAGGCGTTGGATACGTTTGTGAAATAAAAATTGGAAACAATGCAAGAATAGTAACATAGGCCTATTTATAATAATAATAATAATAATAATAATAATAATAATAATAATTAATTAGACTGTAATCCGGTTTTATCATATTCTATTCTTACCTACTTATGTGTATAAACAAATTTATTTGCTAAAAATTGTCCTTAATTAAAATGTAATTTTTATGCCCTGGGATATAATTTTGTATAGGCCTACTGTATATATATGGTATTACCTATTTGGCCTATATAGACTGTTTTTGTAAGTATTGTAATAGCAATAACAATAATCTAATATTAGGAGTGGTTGTAGCTACATCGGTTTTGAAAACGTTTGCTGGGTATATCTTTAAGATATCGATAATGATTAGTGTGTAACTTATTTTCAGGATAATTTGATTAATGATTTTCGACAAATGGAAGAGCACGTTTTTACCTTAAATAGAGTCCTCCCAAATTATATCCTATCTTTCACATCAATCTTATAAGCGACATAACTAATGTTCAATCAATTGTCATTTTTTTTAGTCTACTTCCTAAATGAAATAATAGAAATTCCTTTTGGGTACACTTGGGGCCCGTGGTCCCCATCCTAATGCCGTATTTGACTTTTTTGACAATTATTCACAGAATCTCGGAAAGCCTCCCCGCCACCCAGTCGACAGACTTTTGGCAAGTGGTTGTTAAGAGAGGTCGTACAGAAAGGTTCAACTTTTTAAATGTTGATTGTATAAATTACTTAACGCCCTTCTAAAATAATACTTAATTTTAAAAATTTAAAAATAGTATGGTAGGCCTATGGTAGACAGAGTTCACTTGATGCAATAAATGTGAATTGAATTGTGTTGAATTGAAACGTTATTAGAATGTTTTGTGTTTTTCGGATACATCGTTAATATAGCAATAATTCTAGACAAAATGTCTTTATGAATCTCTGATATACAGGAAATTTAACAACGATTTATCCACAAATGAAAGAACACGTAATTACCGGAAATGGCGCCCTTAATATATCACAATAATTCATGCATGATTGAGTAGTGGTGGACTATAAAAATACCTCCGTTTCAAACACAGTGACACTTCAACTCACACATGGTAAAGACTTAGTATTTAATATCAGGACATTAACCAAAGATTTATAAACTGGTATTTTATCGCGCTGTCATGGAAAAGTAAGTCAATTTTTGTAAAGCACACTATAAAGTTGTTTACTGATGATACACCAGTAAGCTACCAGAAATTTTAAATTAAAAAACAAGTTTATTTTGTTAATGTCATTAGATTCCCATACTTAAAATTGAGTTAAGTTAAATATACATATTTAGCTTCCCAAAAGAGAAACTTCGCTTTAGCGACACAAATTCAATAGGCCACATTTTGTATTTTGATGTCAACGCAAGTGAGGTCTAATAATATTTTATTCACATATTCACATAAAAAACATAACAATATGAAAAAAAGTAAACTAGACACAATAATTTCTGTAGAGAAAACTATATCAATGATCCAATAACAATGAATAATAAGAATATAGAAATAGTAGAGAAATAAAAGTATCTCGGAATTATTGTACATACTAAACTGGAACTCACAAACAAATAGTGTATACACTGCAAAACAGATTTTTTTTAATGTATTTTGAAAGAAAATTAAGAAAGTTAAGTGTAGATAAAACCATTGTTTTTTTTTATAAAACAAACTGTTGTACAGAGTACACTAAATTTTGGCTTAATAATATGTGCGTACGGAAGCTTCTCAATGATAACAGAAAGAAATTTCAAAAAAATAACAACGCATTGGCATGGAATTAGAAACCATAGTAAATATATATAACAGACTGATCCTACAAAAAGTAGAAACTATAATGAAAGGACATCAGGTTTTAGATTATAATGTTCCACGTATGCGACACAACAGATATAGGGATTCATTTGTAAATAACTGAGGGCCTAAGGATTCATCCCCTTAGGCCCTCAAATGTATGAGGTCGTATCTAGAAGATCCGGGGAACATTGTCTCCATGATAGGGTTGTGAAGGGGTGCATTGGGAGGGGATAAGAGGATAAAGTTCCCAGGAGCTGATGCATTCTGGGTTGTTAATGGTGAATGTTATCATCATTTCAATTCTATTAATTTTCATTTCATTTCAGTTTATTCAGTTCATTCAGAGAGATAAAAAACGAAACAATACAATAGTGCAGAAACAGTTAAAGAGTACAGAGAACAATATGAACTGAGGAATATAATACAAGTAAACTTATTTCCACTGGGTCCTCAAGACAGAAAGAAAACATTGAAAATTGCACTAACGCCTAACCACTAAAAATAACAAATCTTACCAATAAGTCAATTACATTAAAAAGGCACTTTTAAAATGAATGTCAAACAAAATGAAAGAAAGCAGCACATTCAAGAAATATTAAGAAATAACAGTAACATTTACAATTTAAAAATAAATTAAAATTATCAAAAACGCTTTATTAGATAATTCAGTAATTAAAAGGTATTATAAAAAATAGATATAATTTAAACAATAAGGATTGCAGTTCTTTAATTTACAAGCTGCTTTAATAATGCAAGTTGCTTGCTTGAGAAAGGGGATTTAGCCGGACCATGGAACCGCTTACTCTCAGGTAATGGATAATAAGTATGGTGCCAGTTTTGTACCAGGTAGTCTGACCCAGGGGTGGCCCCAGTATTGCTCGACATGTGGTCTGATTTTCTCCAGGGGTGACCGGGTCCCGACTAGAGCGTTGGTGCGGCGCCAGGGACTTCTCAGAACAACTGGAAAGGGTTCGAGGGACGATATAATATATTTTAATAGATGGGTGGCCCCAGGAATATATAGTGAAGGGTGTAATGGTATTTGATATCAAACTGCTATCGATGGAGGTTTGATTGATATGGATGCATAGGCCTATACTTTAGCGGATGCTACTGAGTTCGCAAAGGATTGTGTTTAAAATAAGTGGACATGTATGGGAATAAGATGAGTGCAGATTGCGGCTGTAGAGTCGCTGGATTCGTTTGTTAAGTAAAATTTCGACATCATGCATACATATAATAATAATTATAACGTGAGGCGTAACACCTAATGCATATGCATGAACTTGTAGCCTACGTACGCTGCAATAACGTAGAAGAGATTTTGTAGCAGCTGGAGTTCAAGTAGATTATTTTAGTAACGTAAACGTATCTTTTCAATACTGTAATATGTTTGTTTGCAGCTCGTAATTTCTTCTCTGGTAAGTACTCATTCGTTATGTGCTAAAAGTATTTTGAAAATAGGTCAATAAAAATCCTTGGGAGTGGTTCAGAGCGGACACGTGTACTTCTACTCTACATAATCATATAGGCCATGGTGGTCAATGCTTGGACTCTTCATGTTATCATTAGACATATGGCATGCCTGGAAGGTAAACACTAATATTCCATTGGAAACATTTTAATTTATGAATAAAAGTATCATGTAGGCCTACGCTCTAATTAACAGTATTGATAGATTTTTCGATAGGCCCAGTCATTACTGTGATACTGCCCTCAACTATTTTAAAATTATACAGGTGGACCGTGTATAATCTTAGGCTACGTTCAGCATATTTAACAATTGTCATATCAGGCTAACACTCGTCATACCGGTTATAAATGCAACCTATGACATTCATATTCATACATTCTGTTGAGTACGGTATTTGGTAACATTCACACCGTTGGTTCCAAAAATAATAGGCACATTATTCTTGCTAAGAGTCCAGACTGGCAATTGCTGCCCGCTCTTGTCAACGGTCAACGGTGGACTATTAATATAAATTAATAATAAACATAAAGTAATACTAATAACAATAATCACAAAAATCACACCATCATCGCATGCCCATAACATATCAATCATAGCAGCTTTACGCAAAACCAACATCAACGTACATCCACCCGACGCAACGACCAAATCCTAAGTGACTTATGTTTTGCGTTCAATAGAACTCCACACTGTTTTACATACTCAGGTGTTCTATTAAACTACGTATTAAACAACACGTCCAGAACACACATATGCAAATTAAATTGTTTGCATTAACTTATAATTTATCGAGAATCTCAATCCACTGTTATTTATTGGCTATAGACAATTATTGTAGAATTACAATTTATATTCAATATTTGTATTAATTGCACATTTAAATATTATGTTGCATTCTTTCTAATTCTGGTTATTTGATGAATATATGTATTTTATTTCAGTAAAAATTCTGTAAAAGACTGAACATTGCAATATGCACTTCTGAGGATCTCAACAAACCAGTGGACTCATCCTGCTTAGCTCGATGGATATAATGTTGCTTTCTTGTTTCATGCTCGTTAATTCTGCTCAATGGTAAGTAAAAAAAAACTTGTTCTTATTATGAATTTCATGTCTGTTGTAAAATGCTTTGTGGGATAACATTCGACCTGGTTCAACACTAAGAATAAACATTATAATTTTAATATTACAATACAAAAATCCTAGTTACATTTTTTTTAAATAAATTAAAATAAATTTTAATTTGTTTTCATAAAACAAGATTTTAATTGAAAAATAATATAAATAACAGGGTAATACAATTGCAGAAATCAAAATAATAAAATTATTTCTTGTATGTCATTAATATAATAATATGACAAAACAGTGAACAAAACTTAGTAGATTACATAAACATGTTGACGAGAGAATTCGCAAGTGCCAAAGAGCATTTTACTCCCTGCAATGTATAGGCATGTGCAAAGGTGGTAGTTCTACATGCATTAAAACACCCGTATGGAACAGCGTGTTGGTCCCTATTCTAATCTATGGCTGTCAGTGTATTAACACCAATACAAATGTTTTTAACGAATTAGAAAATACACAGAATAAGCTTATTAAAGCAACATTTGGTCTTCACAAATACTGTAAAACTACACCTCTGTTACATGCCTAACCTGCCGGGTGGAAACGGGCCGGGTGGCAATGGGCCGGGGTGGCAACGAGCCGGAACCAATTGGACCTTGTAAGCCAAATTATGAATAATACATCCGAGGCGAGATCTTTTTATGCTCACCTTCTTTAATGACCAGGAAAAAGATATATCTTTTTCAAAGAATACACTTGTTGATAGGATTAAAAATCGGTTTGCGAATTGATCAGACTTTTCTGTGTGCAAATATAGATTTAGTGAAACTTATCGTAGCAACTTCAAACGGTCCATTAGGAACGTTGACTGTTTTAAACACGGTATCTGTGACAGTATTAAAATGATTCTATATGAAAATCTGTTCCCTGGCAACAATCACCTTGATCTCATGGGGCTACAGCTGAAGTCATTTTGGTAACACTGTCAAACCCTGATGGCATGCCTTATGTTAATGCTGTCTCTTATACACATCTAGATGTGTATAAGAGACAGGTATTTATGTGTATATATGTATATGTATGTATATACATATGTATATGTATTTGAAATGTGATTTCCTTGTTCTTTGCAATTAATTCTGTAAATGTATTTTTAATGTGTTTTGTATGTTTTATCTTCTTGTTTGGAGGTTTTTTCGATGAATAAATGAAATGAATAAATAAAATGAAATTAAGTGATTTTCTAATTAGTATTAAATTCCAAATGATCATTATAATTATTAAGAAAAAGTATTCTGATAAAATAATAAAATAGAAATAAAGATTAAATATATAGCATATTTATTATACAGTATAATAAAACACAAATTCTAAAAATATTGAATAGTAAATTGTATAATTTTGATAATATACTGTAAATGTTTGCATAATTCAAAATGATATATTCTAGTGGTTAATTCAATTCTTCACAAGATAGACACCCACACACACACGTAGGCTGCTATACACTGGCTAAGTCCCATTATGAGGCTTAGGGAGTGGAGTTGTTTTGGTCATGAGAACAAATCCTGTTGCTGTGATAGGAATTAATCCCAGGACCCTGTTTAGAGCAAAACACATACTTATTACAGTTTCCTTATTTTCAAAGCCATAAAATGTTTTAATTCATTTAATCCTGGCAAATGAGGTAAATTGACATATTAATAAATCACAGACAAATATATATATTTTCAATTCTTATAGTTATGTGGATAAAAGTATGCTTATTTTAATTTAAAAAGCCAGTTTTGGTAAAATTTGACAAAATCAGGAATACTCAATACCTCTCTTTGTATAATGTGGAGGAGAGTTGAATTTGCTCTCATATCACTCAGCATAAATATATTAGCTGTAATGGAAGATTTTTCCCCAAAAATTACCAGGAAAATATTTATTAGCAAAAAACCTGTTATTTGGGTTAAACATAACTTTTATAATTTCGTATTTGGCTGTTAAGGATGAAATCATAAAGAACCAGAGCACTCAATAGAGAGCATATTTTCGCCCACCGCCAATCTCTTTCTATTAAAAATCCCTCAAAAATACGTACTTTCCAACCATCAACCACAATCTAATTTTTAAAAATTACACTAACACAAAAGTTTCATTTAGAAGAGTATATTTTTTGAGAGATATCGGATCTGCGACGTTTTGCTTTGAATGGTCCATAATCGACACCATAATATAATCACTTCCCTTTTCGAACGCCTTTTATTGTATCAGTTGTACACCTGCCAATTCCTGACATGTTCTTGCTTAACTTGTTGGCAAATTTTACTCGTATAACTGACAAACAAAATACATGCAATGTATTGGTGTTGAAATGGAAATATTTTGGAAATAGAAATATGGAGATTTTGATTTTCGGTGTCACATGTTTAAATGTAAAGATGAATTAAAACTATTGCCAATAAGTCTTGAAAAAAGTGAAGTTTGTACATATAAAATGATGTACGGTACACATTTACTGTAACTGCACTAAATTTAAATATTCATCGTATAGCTATTGTGTCTGCCGACGGTAATACAGTAAACTTATTCTTTAAATGATCTTCGTATCCACACCCTATTTCAGATAGTGACCAAATTTGACACACTTCTTTATTAAAACATGACAATCTATATTGCCAATTGTCGTTTTTATCCATTTTCGCCTTTTGGCCCTCAAATGCTCACCTCAATATGGATCATCAACAACACTCCGTAATTTCTTCCTTGTACTTGGTTAAGCTTTCACGAAAGTTTCTTATCAATTGAGGTTTAAATGGTTCTGAAGTATACACCCTACTCCGGATGGTGACAAAAATTTTAACATTTCTTCATCGAAACATGACAAACTATTATGGGTAGTGTAATTTAGAGATTTTTTGGTCTGAGATCTTTAGGATTTTAAATGACCCTCAAATGCACACTGAATTTGGATCGTCACCAACACTCCATAATTTTTTCCTTGTAAGTTGCTTGAACTTTCAAGAAAGTTTTTTTCAGATAGGTTGATTATTTTTTGAAATATCTGGGTTGGGACATTTTCCATGAGTTGTCCTCATATCCACACCCTACTCCGAATGGCTACCAAAATTTAATCACCTCATCCTTGGGTCATACCTGATAATTTCTGTAACTTTCATTTAAGATTTCTTAAGCTGTTTGTGTGATATTTTGAACACAAGAAACATGCATGACCTTAAAAATTTTAATGACCCTCAAGTTCACCCCCAAATTTGGATTGTGACCAACTCTAGATGATTTCTTCCTTATATCTTGGTTAAGCTTTCACAAAAGTTTCATTCATACCAGTTGATTTGTTTTTGAGATATCTTAATTGTCTAGGATGTTTGCTCTAAAATCCCTTTAAATGGCACTCACATCCACCCCCTACTCAGGATCATTTCTTCATTGGGTTAAATAACCTAACATTCCCTGTAATTTTCAGTTATGTCTGTGCAGCCATTTTTGCGATATGTCATACACAAAAAACCTAATTCTTAAAATTTTATTCGCAAATAACTCGGATAATTCTGCTGAATTAAAAAAATAATATTTTTATTTTTATTTTTTCCCGCTTGCCGCTGAACGCTTAAAAAATTAAGTACGTTAAACAAAGTATTAAAAAAGTATCGCCTCGTATAGGCCAATACTTTTCATCAAAAACTGCGCAGAAGACAGACCTTATTTTCCAAATGTGTGTTTCGGATTACCAGGCTCAATTTATTCCCCATGCAAGCCTTATTTTACAGTCAGGAATATGGGAAAGAAAAAAGACCTTAGTGTGAGCTGGCATACCGTAAAGTATTTTAATTGTGCGGTGGGTACATGTAAAACATAAGGAGATAACGTGCAAGCAATACTAATCAGAATTTTGCATTAAAAGTTAATGATTTTATGTTTGTATAAATGTACATTAATATAAAATACATTTATATAATTCTTGTTCTTAAAATAATTACATTAATTATTAACATTAAAATTTTATTATTTGACCTAATGTTGAAATTTAAGTGATAATGATAAGAATAATAATAATAAAATAATGTTTATTGGCTTAGTATAGACAATTATTCTAGAATTACAATTTATATTTAATGTTTGTAAATTCTAATTAATATACATTTAAATAATAATGTTGCATTCTTTATAATTCCGGTTATTTGATGAATGTATGTATTTTATTTCAGTATTAAATTTTTGTAGAAGGCTGAACATTGCAAAGGTCTCAGCAAACCAGTGGACTCATCCTGCTCAGCTCAATGGCTATAATGTTGCTTTCTTGTTTTGTGCTCATTAATTCTGCTGAATGGTGAGTGAAAAAATTGTTCTTATTATGAGTTTCAAGTCCGTTGTAAAATGCTTTGTGGGAAAACATTCGACCTGGTTCAACAGTACGAATAAACATTATTATTTTTAATTTTAAAACACAAAAATCCCAATTAAATTATTTAAAAAAAATATTCTGAAAAATAAGATAGAAATAAAGATTAAATATATATGTCTATTTATTATTTAATAAAACACACATTCTAAAAATATTGAGTTAGTAAATTGTATAATTTTGATAATATAAGTTTAATAGAGTTGTTAATTCAATCCCGTCACGAGACACATACACACACACACACCCACACACACCCACACACGTAGGCTGCTATACACTGACTAAAGTTTCATTATGTGGCTTTAGGAGTGGAGTTGTTTTGGTCATGAGAACAATTTATTTTATTTTATTCAATTCTCAACCAAAACAGATAGAAACTAAGCTGGAACATATACAAAGAAACACAATACTGTATATGGTACAAACTAGCAATAAACTGTCTTCTTAAAGTTTAAATGAGAATAAACATCATAAAAAATACATATTTCGTCCGAACAGTTTAAATTATTAAATGTAACTGCTAATCTTTTATAATAAACTCTCTTGCATCAACTTTGCCAAAGGGGGGACATAAAGTAAAGTGTTTATTGCGAGTACAACTTCAAACGTTCAATGTACAGGTACACGATTAGAATCAAAACTTTTGTACAAATTTAACAACTTATCCAAAACAAGGCTACGTTATAATAGGCCTATATTGAAAAAAATGTAAACTTTTCACAAAATTCGACCAAATATAGTTTGGCCGTGACTTTTCAAACATTATATTACGGCCAGGCGAATTTTTATAAGGCCAGGTTTCAGGAATCTGGCAGTCAAGAAAGTCAATTGGCAACCCTGCTGTCAAGTACATGTGTGGAAAATCCCAGCTAGATTGTTCTGGGCATGCGCATGAACATGCATGGGCAGTTTTGAAGCACAGACATCCTGTGTTGATACGATCATAGCATTTATGAAAGTGATATTTCCCATGCTAAAGATAACGATAAAACGAACGCTAAAACGACATTTCTTCAGCGATTTTCTTTTGTAAAACATATATTATACTACACCTGTCTCTTATACACATCTAGATGTGTATAAGAGACAGGTGTTGAAATGGAAATATTTTGGAAATAGAA